AAAAAAAAAAAAAAAAAAAAAAAAAAAAAAAAAAAAAAAAAACGGAAATATCAATTGTAGTAACTCTCTTTGGTTAGTATCAGCCAAAATTATGATGCATTTAATAGGAGAATTCATGCATTTTTGTGGAAGTTGTATACCCTCATCATTGCACAATGTTTATGAGGCCTGGCCCTGAAGGGGAGTGCACTGATGCCCTAATCTCATGTATTATCAGGTGACATTGGACACATCATAAAAGGCTGTATAGTAGACACTGAGCTTCAGTCTTCTCATTTGAGAACTGTAAAGAATTTAATATCTTACTGATTCACTAATGTAACAAGATAAGAGATAGAACAAAAGAAAAGTCCTTTCACAAAGTCACTGAAAAATTCAATGTAACTCTTGTTATCAGCACTGTAGCTAACTGTGGTCTGTCCAGAAGGTATTATTACTGCAATTTTATGCACTGGCATCAGGACCTCGTGACTTTACAATGCCTTGTCTGTGATCAATGAATAAATGGAGAAATTGAACTACCTTTCATTCTTCCTTTTGAGGCAGTTCTATTGCACCAGAATTCTCTTTCATGGTAAATAAATCATAAATGAACAGTGTGTGGCTTATGTCCTTTGTAAATTCTGATAGCAGCGTCTTGTCATTCAGTGCGCATTTCAGAGCTGAGACTGAGCCTTGTCTCTTCCTGACAGCCGAATTGCTGACTTTGAATGTGGATGTGAGAACTCCTCCCACCTGGAGATCTCCATGTTTCCACGTCACTAAAATGAGCTTCATATCAGGCTTGAGATCTTTCCTACTCTTACGACAGTTCCTTTAGGCAGGTAAACTTAGAGCTGTGCTATGTCTCTGCTTCATTCCCGCTTTTATCTTCGCAGTAGACATGTTATAAAGGAGAGAATGACCGGCACTATTTTAGGTAAGCAAACTAAAATTAGGTCAAGAAACTTGCCCTAAACTATACTGCGAATATGCGGCAAAGCCAGAATTCAGACTGAAATCCACTCTACACATTTGACGGACTAGTGCTACATGGCTTTTGCAGTTTACAGCCAGATAGATGAATTTTCTATCATATTTTTTTAAATTGCACACACTATATTTATTAACAACTAGAATAGTCCCTAGTAGGAATATTAAAGTCAAACTTTTCAACCACTCTTGATTTTCACAGCATTTGTATTCTTCAGTTAGCAAAATAGATAATTAGCATTCTGAGTACTAGGCAGAAATTCTAAGTCTCAAACTCTCAGTTACTTGAATGCTCAAATTTAGCAACTAAAATAAGAGATAATAATAGTACCAGTAGGGAGCTCAATCCTGCTTCAGACAATCCAACTCAAATCCTGTATGGAGGTGCATTGTTAAAGTCAATATTCTCAGACTATGTCGGCTTAATCTCTGCTTTGAGTTGGTTTCCAATGACTCATCCCTGTAATTTAATAAAGGCTTTGGAAGAGCACCTTTATTTAGAACCGTGTGGTAAAAGAAATACTTAAATGATGAATGCTGGGAAATTATCAACAAAGAAACCCCTAGGGCTATCAGGAAGATGATTTTGATGGACTAAAAATGAGTTCATTCACATAAGAAGCTTTACGGGGGAAAAAATCTATCAGAAAAGAAGGTTACAATTATGGCGCATGGTCCATCATTATTAGAAGAAATGTTTGATTTCAGGTATTACCTACTCTCTGACACAGCTCATCCTAGAGCCTAATGCCCATTTTTTGGTTTAACCTTCATTTCTAGGCCCAGGCCATACCAAATAGAAAATAAAAATAATGAGTAATAGCAATGAAATATGTAGAGAAAATAAGACATTAGAGAAACTGTGCTGTATAATTAGTTGACTTTTAACATCAGAGAGGCTATACATAGATCCAATCTCTGCCATTTAATACCTGTGTGGCTTTGAATGAATATATCTCGGAGATTCAGTTTCTTAATGTGTAATAATGCTGATATTACTAGTATCCACCAAAAAGTCACATGAGAATTTAAATCAAATATCATACATAAAGTAGTAGACTCCACCTCAAAATACTAATTTGGGGTAATTGTTGTACGAGGAGTCGTCTCCCTTCCGACACAGTAATTTTTGGGATATTTGGAATCAAGAAATCAGGGGGAGGAGGTGGCTCAGAGCATATATGTGGGAAACAGAATGGAGAGAACTGTGTACATTTAGAACCCTGAGGAAATGCACAGACAGCAGGAAAGTCTAAGTTATGGGAGTCCTAACTGGAAGGCACAGAGGACACCATCTGAAGACACAGTGCTTATTCATCTTTTCTTCAAATGAACAGGTGCTGTCTCTGTGTGTGTGTCAAGCATGGCACCCCATGCTGCGGAAGCAAAGGCTACCCAAACACGTTCTCAGTCCTCACAGGGCTTCCAAGAAGTTTCACGAGGACTCCTGTGTGCTCCCTTATGAGTCTCCAGAAAATTGTTTATGAATCTACTAGAAACACTAGGGAGTCCAGAAGGAGGCTGGGGTCTAACAACTCCTGATTAGATCCCAGTAACTCTTGCGGTCCCACGACCTGGAACAATAGCAGTTACTGAAACGCTGTTACAAGAAGACCACTCAATACCTCTCTTTGTGCCCCCTTTTTAAAGCCCCAGAGGGATATTTCCTTTGTGTTGAATATAAATTATGTTTCCATGTTCTTACAAAGCAATATTCCTACCTTTATTCTACATTTGAGTTAATCAGGCTGTCACAGACACAAAGCCCAAGACACATAGTTGATACTTAGTGAATCTGAGGCATGGATTTCTCCAAAAGCCACACCATCCCTAACACCAGAGGTGTCCCTTTGGAGTCAGAACTGGAAAACACTATACTACAACTTATCCGCAGGGTCCTTCTTTCCTCTTTCTGTTCTCTCTCCAGATTTTTCCACTTCTGATTATCCCTATTGTTTGTATGCACTTTGAAGTTCCCTCAAGCCTTTTATGTGAAGAGATGTAGACCAAGTAAAGCATTCGCTATATAACATCTACATGCATATGCATTTTCTTAATGATTTAGTTTCAGTTAAAAAAAAATGAAAAAAACCTTGACTGGTGTTGGCCACACAGAAAATTATGCAAGTTTCACTTCTTGTTTTGCTACCAAGAATCACGAAGCGATGAGGTGGCATGATAAGAGTTTCCTTGAGTGGGCAGAAGACCCAGTATCAGGAACTGCCACTTGCTTACACTGTGGCCAGTTGACAATGTACTTACTTCATTGCACTTCAGGTTTTACAACAGTAAAATGGAGAAATTAGTGCAGAGAATTTAGCTCAGTGGTTCAGCCGCCTGCCTTGCAAGCACAAGGTCCTGAGTCCAATCCCCAGTACCAAAAAAAAATGGAGAAATTAGTTCTTGATCTGGTACCTCTTCTGGCTAATAAACTATGATGATTTTGTGAATATGTTCCAAGCTGTAGGATATTACACAAATGTAAGACATTCTAGTGAGTATTAATTTCTATTTTTTCCTCCAGTTCTCTTTCATCCAGAGTGCTTAAGTGGCTAGAAAGAGTACATCCTAGTCCTAAATTCGGTTATGGTTTTCCTTCTACTTCTGCACATATCATTTCTTTCTTTCCATTTTCACCTCATCTGCACTTTGCAGACTTTCCCTCAGGGAGAGGAGGCTGATGAGAAGGTCAGTGTCAGCCTTGCTGCAGGAAACAATCCATTTGTACTTTTATCTTCCTCCACGGACCTTCTGTATTTACTTAAAACAAACAAAACAAAACACGGGTACACAATTCTTCCTCAAATGTGAACAAAAGCATAGTCACATATGGCAGAGTCATACACAAAATCATGTACTTTCAAGACTACTGAGAACCTAAGAGACAGTCCTGAACAATCGTGTATAAATACAAGAGTAGAGAATTTATCTCGAACAGCCATACTTAACCACGTCAAATGCACACATTCCTCATAGAATATAATCACACTCTTTCCTGCGTACATTTGGTCACACATGCATTCTTGCATACACACAAGCACTAACAGGAACACTCACAGGCATACCTACTCTTGCACACATTTAGTGTCACTATATTTGAGACAAACAAAAGTATGCAACCACCCTAAATACAATCAAACCCGTCATTTTCTGAAAAAATCAGTCACAAACACACTCGTGAGCATAACCAGATTCCCAGTTCTCCCAAGTATATTTTCATCTCTTTTCCTTTTTCAACTTCAAGGATGGAAACTGGTTATGCACATCTATACATATTTAATGCATACAATTTGTTGAGTTTGAACATGTACATGTATCATCACAACCAAGGTAATAAAATATACTCATTACCTACAAAAGTTTCCTGTATCTATTTTAAAAAAGCATTTGTGTATGTGAGTGATAAGAACATTCAACATGAGACCTATAGTGTTAACAGATTTTCAAATGTATAAAACATGATGGTGCACTAAAGGCAGTATGCTACACAGGAGATCTTTAGAACTAAGTCATATTACATAATTGTACCTTTATGATAACTGAAAACCACTCTCCATTTCTCTATTTCCACTCCTCCCTGAGGCCCAGTAACTGCTGTTTTAGTCTCTGCTTCTGAGTTTGACTGTTAGAACTTCTTACTAATAGAATCAGGCAAAATTTTTCCTTCTGTACTGGTTTATTTCATTTAGTATAAAGACCTGTGGGTTTATTTATATTGTTGCAAATGGTAAAATTTTCTTCTTTTTAAAGGTGTAACAATATTCCATTTTAGTTAACCATTTATTGATTGATAGACATTAAGGTTGTTTTCATAATTTGGCTATTGTGATTATTAACTGCAGATAACATGGGAGTGAAGATATCTTTTTGAAATTATAACTTCAACTCTTTAGGAGTGCATCCAGAAATGGGATAGCTGGATCATGTGGTAGTTCTATTTTTATTTTTCTGAGGAATTGTCATGCTGTTTCCCGTAATGGTAGCACCATTTTGTACTTCCACTTATAGTGTTGAAGAACTCCAACTTCTTCCTTATCCTGCACAACACACCCATACAAAATATAATTTATATGTAAAACACATGCAATGTTTTACATATAACACACGTGTAAAGTATTTTATATAAAATTTAACATACATTAATTAGATAATGTCCATTCTAACTGATTTAAAGTGATACCTGTTATGGTTTGAATTTGCATTTCTCTAATGATTATTTACCCATCTAATGATCTATTACCCATTTTTTTGTACTATTTCTAAAGAAATAGGAGAACTCCCCTTAACATGAGCCCATTAATGCTCGGAGCTCTGTTTTCTCAATGGCTATGTCCACTCTTTTGTAAATGTGGTCAGCAAGTGATACCCAATGGGAAACAGCAATGTATAGCCCCATCTTGAATCATTCCTCAGTGATGAAGAGGGTGAGAGGGATTCCAGCCCTTTACCTCTTCCTAAAAGGATCCAATTTTACACCTAACAACATTCATTCTGAGAGGAACTTCTGCTATAACTTATTTCGTGGAATCACTCTGGCAGTACCAACCCAAATTATTTCAGAATCAGAAAGGAGAGGTGGTCTACAAGGTACCCCTCTTCCCTTCCCACACCTAGAACAAACTGTCCTTCATGAGAAGAGGAAGTGGGATTTTTCTCCTCCAATTAAAAAAATGCCCCTTTCTACCAAATTATTTTAATGCTGTCTTTGTGACAGTCATAACTTAGTAGGTAATAACTCGAGAATGACATCAAGTGACAAAGTGATGGAGTGTATTTTACATACTTGCTTGAACAATTGTCATTAAATATGAATATATCCAGCATGTCTCTAACAGCCTTATGTATGAGACGAGTTTATGGACAGGACATGAGAAATGAGGACTGGATTTATAAAAATAAAATTAAAATATTAGGAATTATTTAATAATGAGATTATGCTAAGAAATGATCAGAGTATTTCTGAGCATGTGTTTTTCAGGTTTCCTTAGCAATTAGTTACAATACCAAGGAAATGGATATGAAATGGAATGGGAAGCCTGAAATAGGAGCCATCTGAGTCGTCCAGAATTTCCATTATATTCAACATAAAAGGAAAAAGTGAACAAACATTCAGTTCAGTTGAAACATCCCAAAACTCTTTTAGATAGAGAAAACATAATACATGACATGGTTCCCACTCATATAGCTCCAGAAAAGAACAGTGCTCTTTTCTACACTCTCTGGCACCTGGCATTTTCTTCAATTTGATGGAGTAAGCCTTGGAGGCTTCCTTAGTCTTGACATTTGAGCTGAGTTAGTTGAAACACACTTGGAAGGTTCTAAATTTTAGTCCAGCATGTATTTCACCCCACACTGTAAGCTTGATGAAATGAGCAACATGTGTATCTTATGCATCCTTGAATCATTTGCCCATAGTATGATTCCTGTCATGCTGTAGTTCTTTTTAATGGAGCAGATATTGGTTCTAGCTGGGCAAGAAGTGTCTCTGGAGCTTTTTCCTCCTCAGGTCAAAGTTGTGGCTTCTTGCTGGATGTTTTCTGCATCTGCTGTTCCTTCTGGACTCCATGTTTTTCCATCCATCAGGGCTTTCCTGAGTCGTCTCCAGAAGATGTGCCTCCCCAGTGCATGGTCTTCCCACTCCAGATAAGTGTTCCTGCTGAGAAGACGATACAGCTCCACCTGTTGCCGGAGCAGGGACTTCTCCAGCTTTTGCAGGACAATGAAAATGATGCCAGATTGGCTGCTGAGAAACTGCCATGTCTGAGCAATCTCATATTCAAAAATACACCAGCGGCTCTGAATAAAGTGCTGAGACACCACCACAATGACCTTCCGGCTTTTGTGGAAACCTTCCTGGATGATGTTGGCAGCGATGGCCACACCAGGAATAAAGTCTCTGTAGTGAAGGCAGAGCTTAAAGGGAGGCACCCCTTCTTCCAAGTTCTTTACCAACTCATTCCTCACCCAGTCCTCATCTTGGCTTGAGTAGACGACAAAGGCATCGTAGGTGTTTTCACCTCGACCATACTTTTTGCAGCCAGCAAGAAGCATGAGGTGAAAATAGAACTTGTAGACCAGACATGCTATCACAGACACCACAAGGACACTGACTACTGTCACAATGATTATGACCTTGGGTATCTGACAGGTGTCATTCCTAAAACTCAGCACCATCTTACCCTGCATATCTGGAGGCGTCACACACTCCAATTGCTCAGCTTCCACCAAGAGCCGCTTTTGGTCTGTAATCCATTGCAGGAAACTCTGATGTTCACAAGAACAATCAAAAGGATTTTGAGTAAGGTTTAAGGTAGTTAGATTGCTTGGGAAATTCTGCAGCTCTTGCCCATTGGAAGATGCTATTCTATTGAAACTTAAATCTAGACCCTGGAGGGTATGGAGAGGTTTAAAAGAAAGTGCATCCAATAATAAGAAGTCGTTATAACTCATATTTAGGAACTGAAGCCTGAGAAGTTTATCAAATACTCCCTGGGACACGTATTCCAGCTGACATTTTGAAAGGTCCAAGAAAGTCAAGTTAGTGAGCTCTGCAAAGATACTGGAAAGGGTGTTGTCCTTGAAAGAATTGCCAGCCATTTTTAAGACTTGGAGACTGACCAAGCCACTGAAGATGCCAGGGAAGGCAACATGGGTGTGAGTATAAGAAATGTCAAGATAAAGGAGTTTGCTGAGTGATAAGAATACTGAAAATTCACTGGTCTGTTTCAAAGTAGAATACTGAAACTCCAGATGCTCTAGTAGTTCTAAACCCATGAAGTTTGAGCTCATGGTTATAACATCATTGAAGCTTAGATTTAAGTACTTCAGATTGGGTGTCTCCAAATCTTTCAGAGAACAACAGCCCTTGAAACTCATGCCATTTCCACTGAGATCTAGAAATTCAAGGCTTTTCAGTGTAAGGCCTGCAAAACTGTTCTCAACTCTGTTGGCAGTGAAACTAAACCTTTTGAGAGAGGGGATTGCAAATGGAGGAAAATTATTAACTTTACACCTCACCATCTCTAAAGACTGCCATTTTAAACCATTAGGAAGGCCTTCTAGACTTTTTAAATGCAGATTCGCCAGAGACACTGCAGAAACATTTACCAAACAATCAAAGAAGCCATTAAAATTATTTGGAAAGTCATCTAAATATGGCAACCTGAATTCTTCAGTGGCCACGCTGCATAGTCCTTCAAGGGCAGACTTGTCAAACTCTTCAATATGTCTTTCATTTTTAAATTCTCCCAGAACCAACTGATTGACTTCTAAACCAGCCAGGCCTTGAATGCAAGTTTTCATTACATTTGTATTATCAAAATTACTTCTCAAAGTTAGTTCTTGAAGCCTCATTTTGTCAAAGGCACCAGGTTGGATAAAATCAAATGGGTTGAGAGACAAGTCCAAAGAGAGTTTGGACTTGTTATACAGAACATGCAGGTCTTTATGATAAATATTTTGAATCTTGTTATTGGAAAGGTCCAAGTACTCCAAGTTGGTCAGGTAAGAAAAATATTTAGGCAACTTGAAGGAATGGATAAGATTGTGAGCAACATTAAGCTCCTTCAAGGTTTTGAGATGTCCAATTGGGAAGTTCTCTAATGAAGACAGATTTATCTCGACAGCCACCAACTTCTGTAAACTCAGTAGTCCAGAAAAGGCTCCCGGTGCTAAAATCTGGATGGGGTTTCCCGTCAGTATCAAGGTAGAGAGGTAGTTTAAACCCCAGTATGCATCATCTTCAATCCTTTGAATTTCACACCTACAGGGAAAAATGATGCAGAGAGTATAATATTTTCACTGAATCAAAAATTCAAAGTAGAATCACAATCCCAGTCATCTATTTTTCCTTTTTTTGAGACAGGGTCTCACTGTGTAGTTGAGACTGACCTGGAACTCATTACGTAGTCCAGGCTGGTCTCGAACTCACAGCGATCTTCCTGCCTCAGCCTCTCAAGTGCTGGGATTATAGCCACCTTGCCCAGACAGTTATCTAGTTTTTCATACAGATGAGATATCTCATAAAACTGTACATGGGCAAAGACAAGCAAGACACATGACGATTGTGTGGACAAAGGAGAAGCTCCACTGATTCAGTATTATCATATTGACTGCAGTGGAAAACTATTTTTATCAACCTATGTACACATGTTAAGCAGACACAGCAAATCTTTCAGAAGATAATTAGTTAAAGGTGAATAATTAGGGCATATGAAGACTGCATGGTTGATAGAATGTATAACAGCTTTAGACTAAGTTTAGTCATTTCCTGCCATATTTAATTTTGACTATATATCTGATTGGTACAGAAGATATGGGTAGTTGTTACTTGTTATCTGTGAAAATGATTGGATAACGTCAATTTAAAAGATGAATAAAAGATGAAAATATTTCATATTTAAAAGATATAGATACATAAGTATAAATAATTACACATCGGTGTCATGGATACCCTTGATTTTGTGCAGAGCTCTGCATATGTGACAGATAACTGAAAGTTGTTATCACAGGCAATTGTTAAGAACTGTGATAACAATGGGTTTTGCGAAAGAAAAAAGAAATTGCGCAGGGACACTTTGCATGGATGGAACTGACTCAGACTAGGGAATACTTAAGTTGGAGTGTGTTATAAGTAAGAATAAAGGTGCAGTTAACAGCGCATCCCCAAACTCCAAGCAACCATGATGCACGAACCACAGCATCTGTGGCTAGAATACAGAGAGGGAGCTGGAAGAGGGTAAGGGGGTGGGGAAGAAGGAACATCCAGAGAAGGCAGAAGGTTACAAGCAGACACAGGATTTAGATGGTGTCCCAAGAGAATCAGAAGCCACACAACAACATACAATGTTTTCAGAGACATCCCAAAGGCTGGGATCTTATGCAGCCAACCACAGACAGCAAGTTTTGGGCAAACTGCTGTTAGTATTAGAGATGCATGTTAGTTACGGCTCACAAACGGATCCTTTCCTCGTCTATCCCCATGGAGTGCTTCCCACCCTTCCTGTACCCTGCAGGATGTGCGTAGGTGATGAAAGTATTTCAGTCCAAGCTTTTGTTATTTACTGGTAACTGGATAAACAGTGTTGGATGTGGTACAAGCAACACTCAAAGGGGCGACAAGACAGCTGAGGTTTGGTGCCCCTACTTTCCTCTGGCTGTCTGATCTTTGGAACCTCTTTTTTCACTCTGGCTTCAAAGGCAACTGAATGAGGCACTGAACTTGATAATTTCTAAAGTTCCTTATTTTAAATACACAATTTCATAGCCCATATTCTTATATGGGTATATGAGGCAGGACTGGGAGGGTCTTGCTGTGTTTCTGTCTCCTTGCAGACAGTGCACCACTTTACAAAGAGAAAGAGCACATTACACTTGAAAGTGAAAGTTATAGACTTGAGTCTCTGGTCTGCTGAAACAAGCGATGTGAATATAAATAAGTAATTTAAACTCTTCCAGCCTCAGTCTCCTCATCTATGAAAAGGATATGTGGGAATGCTTCCTACTCTATCACAAAGCATTGCTAGAGGACTATGGGCACTGTATCAAAAGGGAAAGGATGTGGGTTGTGGTCCGGCCTGCCTTGCCCTAATTCAGAATCTCCTGTGTGCTAAGAGAGGACAGTGACCTCTTTCTAAGCACACATTTAAGGCATCTAAGAAAAGTTCCTTGAGTATATGGTGGATGAAAGATAAATTAGGAGATACTGATGAGAAAATACTAGTTTTAAGAAAAGGAGACGTTTGGTCTCTACTTCAATACAGTTCTTCACAAAATTCCCTCTTGAAAAACTAAAATTTAGAATCTAATGAAGCGATATAAATTTTCCACTTATGAAATATATTTCGTAGAGTATTTAATGTATACACAGCATGCTAATATTCATTGCCACATGGAACTCTATAAGATAAGCTTGAAGCTTCCATTTAACAAGTGTGAGGACCGAGCCTTGGGGAGACGAAGTGGCAGAGCCAGGGTCACATGGGCATTCGTGTTGGAGGAGGACTTGACTGGCATTTCTAGACTCCCACGCCATTCAGTGCTCCATGCCATTGGCTTTAAACTGTCGCATTCTCACTTCACTATCCCTTACCGCTGGTATGGCTTACATCTGTGTGTCCCTCCAAAGCTTCACACACTCACAGGTGGGGCTTTTTGGAGGTGGCTCGTTCTACGGTGTGTGACGCTAGGACTAATTTACACAATGGTGAGATGAATTATGTGGTGCTGGGATTATGGGAGCGCACTAAATTAGCTCACTGGCTGCTTAAGCACAGTTCTGGGTGTGGATAATGGGAAGCCCTACTCTGGGTGTGGGTGGCTCCACACAAAAGGCAGGCAGCCTGGAAGGGATCAAAGGGAGAAGCTTCTGCCTTGCTGTTTGCTGCTGCTTCCTCACTACTTTGCTGTTTTGCTGCCTTCTGACTGCCATGGACTTTTTCTCCCCTGTGATGCTCCCCTGGTAGGCCATTTTGTCCTGCACCCAGTCTATTATGAACAGAAACCTCTACAAACTTTGAGCTACAAGAAATCTTGCCTCCTTTAACTTTGGGTGTCAAGTACTTTGTCTAAGCAATGAGAAAAATAACTAAAACAACCAATATCCCACTTAGAGTATGAAACATTAATTAATCACTTTCTTCTCTACAAAATTCCTTCTAAAGAGGACTTTAACTAAGAACTATGGCTTTAGTTTTTATCAAAAATTTACATAATGAATATCATATATGAAATGTTTCTGTATTTTCCACAGAACTTTATAAAGAATGTGGCTCATTATCCACTTCAATTTTCTAAAGAAGCCTTGATGGTAAAACTAATTTAAGATTTAGTCCCCTCAGGGCCAGGGATTTAGCTCAGTGGTTCGGTGGCCTGCTTTGCAAGCTCAAGGACCCGAGTTCAATCCCTGGTACCAAAAAAAAAAATTAGTCCCCTCAAAACAAATAATAATTTCACTTGATCCGATGAATGATATAGTTCTTCACATCAGAAAATAATAATTTAGTCATATTTCCCTGCATCATAGCTGATGTTTTCTGTTGGTTTTGACATCATTTTTCCGGTTTACTTGTATCTTCCCATTCCCTACCCTACACTTCTCTTTCAATATTTCAAGATATTATCTGAAGCTCAGTGAGTTCTCAAAATCTTTTCTGTTTACCCTCCACAGAGAAGGCTTCACTTCTGAACAACACAGTTTCTTACCTCCTCTGTCACATAGTTTATTACCTATTGTCATAAGTCACCATCTTTCGCTAGCTTCAAAATCCATTATGTCAGAATTAGATAACAATTGTTGAAGGTCTACAGCATGGCCAGAACTTTAATATGTTAACTCTTTAAGAGGATAAATCCTCCTGAATAACAGAGCTGTATAATATATCAGTAGACTGTTGTTTCCTAGCAAAATGTCAAACATACCACAAATAGTCATAAATATTGACTGATGACAAGTGTTTAAATCAATACAGTGGAGCCTCACTTCATGAACTGAATTCTTTCTGCAATTCCAGTTGTAAATTAGATCAAATTTCCCTACAAGGTAAACACTGAATCTAAGCATTGAATTTAATTTGGATCATGATCAATTAATTCAGTTTGCAACCAGAATGGTGGAAAGAATTAAATTTGTGTTCTTTTCTGACTTAAAAAAAAATACAATGGTAGAATCATTCTTAGAAACCATATCACCAGGTTGCCTATATTACAGATGAGGAAACTGAAATCTGAAAATGAGGTTCACCTGTCCAAGGTTATAAAACAAGTAAGACAGTTGTTGACTGAATGATTAGGTGAACAAAAATGAGACACCATCATCCAGGCTTTCAGGCCAAAGAATGAAATGATGGCACTATGAAAATCTCACTACGTATGGTATGTAAAAACCTCATTTGTTACCTGGATAAATCCAGCACCTCTAGTTCTGGAAAAGCGGTGAAGCTTTGGCTGCCTAAGAACATCAGGGGGTTAAAGCTCAGGTCCAGGTGCTTGGCTGAGGAGGGGATGCTGCTGGGGATTTTGTAGAGATTTTGCTCCATGCAGTCATATGTAATGTTGGGAACCACCTGCAAGGATCACATGTTAGAGACCACATCTTCAGTGTGCTTCTACCTCTCCTCTCCTCTCCTAAGGCAGAGATGGGGGTGTTAATTCCTCTCGGGAACACGTACAGCAGTCAACTTTCTCCCATCCATTCATTTAGTCATTCAGCCACCCATCCATTCATTCTACATTATACCATGTCTTTCTCTAGATAGGAAAGAAAGGGCTCCTCGACCCCCTCACTGTTCTCATCTCTGACTGTAGCAATGGTGATATTCAGTAAGAAACAATGCGAACAGGTGGTGAAGGGTTCTGAAGTCTGAAAGCCTTAGATTTCATACTACATTTTTTGTATTAAGACTTTGGGGGCAAAGTCTTAAGGAAACTTTGGTGAACCATATTCACCACGGGTAAAATACAGATAATGAAATATATAGTATTGTTCTAATCCCCTTCCTCATTGTACACAGCCATAAGATGTTCAAAGACTGATTTTTTGGCTATCACATTCTCCTGGCACACTGACTTTTAGCAGAGTGATACAGAAATGAGGGGCCATATTTGGAGTGTATAGATTCCAGCAGTGGAAAACTAATAAATACAGTCAACCACTCTATGCAGTGTTGGTTTCAGTAATGGTTTCTTTCCTAATTTCCCACAGTCTTTGTAGCCCTTATTCTGTAACTTCCTATCTGATGTCAGAATTCTCTGATCACTTCCAAAAAAAAAATTCCTTGATCTTCCTATCTGATGTCAGAATTCTCTGATCACTTCCAAAAAAAAAAAATTCCTTGATTGAGGCAGCTAGCTTTGGGTTTCTGTTTTTTTTGTTTGTTTGGTTGGTTGGTTGGTTTTTGTTTTTGTTTTTTTTATCCAACAGAATCTCTTTAAAGAATCAAATGAGATACTTTATTTAAACAACTTATATCAAAGTTTACTACAATGTAACTGATCAATAAATCTTAACATTAATTATAACTATTAATCCCTCACTCTATATTGGCCTATTTCTTTATGTCATATGCTTCAACTTAACTTGAAAAGCAACCTTTTAAAGTTGACAGAAATAGAAATTCAGAGAGATGAAGTAATACACATAGTCATAAAAATTTATACACACAGGTCTTCTCTTAATTCCCATATATGCTTAAATGTTACCCATCAAAAGAGCCTTGAAGAGCCACTACTGTCTGATAGAGAATCTTGCTAGGCACTCTTCCCTCTCCATCTTTTATTTTCCTTCACAGTTATATCATCAGTCAGCATCACACTGCCTATGCGATTGTTTCTTAAATATTGTTTATTTTCTGTACTAGAGTGTAAGCTTTGATGGTTTCACTCTCTGCTTCACCTCTGCCCTCAGAATGTTCCCTGGTAAATCATTATTTATCAATAAATACTTGCTGGGAAAATAAATGAAAAACATTGAATTCCTGATTGTACAAAGGTTTGCTTCAGCCCAAGTAGGATGTAATTTCTGCTAAATACATACTCTGCTAAATAAATACTCTGGGCTATATAATACCAAGACAAACCTGATATGGTTCTCAAATTCATTGAGTTTGCACTCTCTATAGCTAATATAGAAGCAAAATGATCACTATCTAAAGCACCAATAAATCAGGCTTGGAAACTATGTCCTGTGGTTCAGAGAAAGTAGAGATTAATTCTGGATTCAGAGAAGACTTGCTAAAATCGACTTTGAAAGATGTTAGATCTGATTAGATAAAAAAAGATAAAAAAAAAGATTGCATTTAACAGACAGGTAATACAGAAACTAACTCAAATTCCCTCCAAGGAAATCCAGATCAAAAATGGGGTAGTGGAGAACTCTATCAGTTAACTGAGAAAGGCGACCTTGAAGAAGAGACATGTTAACAAGGTCTGAATGAAGTGTGTGGTTCAGTCATGAAGATGATAGAACTGTACTTTCCCAAGTGTAGTCATGAGCCACACACATCTACTGAGCACAAGAAACATGGACATTATAAATAGAAAAGTGTGGTAAAAGTGAAATAAATACTATATGTCAAAGACATATAACAAAAGAAAGTATCTTCACACACACACATATATATATACAGTAATGCCTTGGTTCATGAACACGTCTGTTTGCAAACAATTTGGTTCACAAACAAAAAGCATTCAGCAAAATTTTGCTTTCATTTGCAGACTCTGTATCAGGTGGCAAACACAACCACAGCCATCTTCCTCACACAGACACAAACAGTGCCATTTTTCTCAAAATTGTAAAACAAATTCAGTTCCTAAACCAAGGCACCACTGTATATATTAGGTACTTGTTTATCTTTACTTTTTAAAGGTGGTTACTGGAAGCTAAAACTACATATGTGGCACACATACTATTGCCCGTGGACAGCACTGATTTAGGAGAAAAAGACAGATGGATTGTGAGTGGAAGAAATACTGAAAAGGCCCTTGTGTTGGAAACTATTCTAATGGTAGAGTTATTAGAAGTTTTTAAGGAGAGCAACTTGTTATATCCAAGCACCTGGAAAAACAACAAATAGACACCAAAGGGAAGTGTGCAGATTAGTATTATACAGGTGCATTAAAGCAGATTAGTCACTCCACAGGAATCCAGGCCAGGGGACCAGAGACCCTACCGTAGAGCAATCCTGAGGGACAGGCAGAGGGATGCCAGAACACAGTACAAGGAGAAAGTTCAATCAAGGGTCCTGGGACTTTATCCCTGATTGGAGGTTCTATCCCTATTAACCTAAGAGTAGGAGGGATACATCCAGGAAGACAAGAAGGACGGTGGGCCAGAAATTGGGAGAGGGTAGTACTTTGAGGTAACAAATTAGTCTTTATTACATATTAAATTACACTGTATTCTCTCATGTCCTCAACTTTCCTTTCTTTGAGTTTCTGGCCCTGTCTCATCCTGAATCACCTTCTTGGTTACTCAGTTCTGCTGTGGGGTTCATGCAGGAGAAAAATGAAAGAGATTAATCATGAGTGACATCCCTCACCCACTTGTCAGTATTTCACAAGGAAAGAAAAAACTATGTTAGCTGACATAATTCTCTCCCCTCTACCCTTTTCTCTTATTTTTTCTCTCTACTCCCTCCTCTAGCTCTTTGTCTCTTTCTCTTTTCTCTTCTGCTCTTATCTTTTTTCAGCCTCTGGACTAAATTATATGACCAGATACAGAAGTCTGAAATTCACTTCGAAGTCTCTTTCTTTTAAGAAACAAAAAGGGGCCAGGTGTTCCACATGCCTGTAATACTAGCAGTCGGGGAAACTGAGGCAAGAAGACTGCAAGTTCAAGGTCAACCCTGCAAGACCTTATCTTGCACTAAAATTAAAAAGGGATGGAGATGTAGCTCAGGGAAGGCCCTGGGTTCAATCCCCAGTACTAAACATAAAAGAAAAGCAAAAGAAAACTACCTTCACCCTGAGATCAAAAAGGGTGCATAAACCACAGGTGCAAAGTCATCACAGTGAAGCAGCCCTTCCTAAAATTCTCCGGTGAAAAATTATTATAAGCATTTTATTATAGGTGTAAAAACCAGTTCTTCACAGTCATACAGCCAAGAGGTCACAGAACAGTGCGTTCAAGCCAGTGTAATTAACCTAAAGCCCCTAATAGCTTCAAAAGTCCTAAACAGGACAAAACACCATACGTTGCCTATTACTGCCCTGTTAACAATGAGTTATTTGTTCCCTGCGGCTACTCAAGTACGGTTCATTTTACTCTTTTTCGTAAAAGAAACTAATCAGAGCAGGACGCCACAAGTTCTGGGCAGGAAGCAGTTTTCAGATGCAAGGGGAAGCTCCTAGGAGAGGAGATCGCTTACCTCCACGCAGGGCTCCCAGATTTCCGGTCTGGCGAAGGCTAGGAAGGCCATGGCTGGGAGCAGAGTCCCAGCCAGGCCCCGCAGAGACGTCATCCTGGCATTTTGTGAGAGCGGCGATGGCCCTGTGCAAACATGCTGCCTCTGTAAGCACCTGAGAGCGCAGGGTCCTGAGGCTGTGGGCTCTTTGCTCCTCTGAGTGTCCCACTATTCAAAATAGCTCGGGTAAAGCGTGAAGAGGAAGCGAAAGTGCCAACCTTAGCTTTCTGGAGTTTCGTTTTTCTAGTACGCGTTCCCGGCCAAGGGAGGGGAAGTTTGAAGTAAACTTCTTACTGACCAGTGGCTGGAGCAACAACAGGAACCTGGCATTCATACCAGGAAGTCAGCTGGCCTCACCCTGGAATTTAGGCACACTCAGAGACTTCCTTTAGAAAGCTGACCTGGAACTGCAGTTTCCATCTGTTTATACTGATTGAGACTGCCATAGAGCTACAGAAAATACCCCAGCCTGAATGGATTAAAACTACAGAAATCTGGAGGCTAAAAACCCAACATCGATTTGTCAGATGTGTCTGTGTTTTGCGTCCTAATCTCCGCCCCCCACCCGCGTCTCTCTTCAACATATGAGTCTTTGAGTAAGATATACAATATAATTCAACAGGAAAACGCTTGAAAGTAAAGTCCCAGTGCAACACATTTACAAAAGGATAGGTATATTGAGACATGTTTGAGATTCGGAACAAAATATTAAAGTTCAAATCCAGGCCGGATGGACTCAATTCGCTTAAATTACTAAGTTTTAATTTCTGACCTGTAAAACTGGAAACAGTTTTTAATCATAATAGAAACTCATAGTCATAAAATTTATAAAAATAAAGCCAGGCAATGATAGTTAAATTACACAAACTACCAAGCCTGCCTTTCCTGGTTTTTAAAATGAAGATAATTATATTTTCCTTTTGTGATTGAATTAAGATAAGCTACAAAAATGTCTAGCCTGGTATATGGCTTATCATGATGTTTCATAAATGATAGCTATAATGATTATATTAAGTATGCATTTGAAGTAGGGCGATCATATTATGGGATTAAATGAGCTGGCATTTGTAAAGTTTTAGGATATTATCTGGAAAGAAACAAGAGCAATATAAGTTTCTATGACATAAAAACAGTTTAAACGGGGGATACTATCTATGTAATGTGCTTTGATAGTTTCACCTATGTAGAGTATCCTGCAGGCACCTCAAATCCAGCAAGTGGGAAACCAGATGACAGGGAGTGGTGTCATAAAGGACTGAGTGAAAATTCTTGCAGATGTCTTCAACCCAACTAAGTACAATTAAGCCAAATATAGTCCCTTTCAAGGAACCCTTGCTTGAGGATGGATGGAGACTACTTAGATGAAAACATTGAAACACAGCTTGGCACAGAGTAAGTGTTCAGTAAATTTTGGCTCCCTGAAAACTTAATGGTATTTTATTCCCACATAGACATCCAAGATGGAAGTCTCTTTGAGTTAACATCTTTGATTTCCTCATTTCTCCCACTGCACATATATCGACTCTATTTTCTAAATATGTTGCTCCTGTACTTACAGTTGGGCTACATCACCGCAAAACCATCATAAGTTGAAAATATTGTGTGTCAAAAAATGCGTTTAAGGCGCCTAACCTGCTAAATATTATACCTCAGCAGCACAGGACGGTGTCAAGCAGAGGTTGCTACCCTCTTGATCATATGGCTGAGTAGGAGCTGCAGCTTGCTGCCAATGTCCAGCCTTGCTAGAGAGGATGAGGGGTGAGCGAAAACTCTGGTAGGTGTTTAAATTTTTTTATATAATGATTACAGTGAAAGACTCATTGCCATCAGTCCTCCTCAAAACACCCATATTTCATTGTTCACTTCCTGATGCAGCGTTAGAAATTCTCTTCCTTGTCTTTAAGAAGTGCGATTAAAAACAAAAAATGCGACAGAAAGCAAACTTCTAAAAACGTTATGGGGTGTTCCAAAACGCCTTACTCACCTTGGAACTTCTGGCTCTTCTACAAAGTCAAAATGATCACGAAGGGGAAGTGTTCTGAATAGATTCATAGCATCTTGGCAGCCACAACATCGCGATTAAAGACACTAAAAAAAGAGGACTTCCAGAACTGCTTCGGAAAGTGGCAAGAACCGTGGGATAAGGGTACGGGAAGTGAAGGGGAGTTATTCTGAAGGGGATGAGCGGCAATGTACTTTTTACTGCAATACATTTTGAAAACTTTAAACACACAACATTCTTTAAAAATCAGACCACGTACCCTATTTCTTATGGTTAACCTGGGAGAAGCTCAAAATGACCTGTCCCATCGGCATTCTCCTGACTGGGAAGAGATTGTTCTTCCCAGAGCCATTAGCTCTCAGAAATAAGTGACCCCCCCCGGATCACACCTTCAATGTGCAGATTTACTACCCAGACCTGACTCTGAAACACCTCTTCTATCTGGCTCATAACTAGACCCAAGGGAATGGCATAGTCTTTCCCCAGTCCACACAGGGTGGGTACCAGACACCAAGAGACAGATTCCATCTCCCAAAGCCTGCTGAAATAATTCAAACTAGCATATCAGCCTGTACTACCTTGCCTTACCTTTTCTGCAGATACCACAAGACCCACTTGGGCTCGTGATTTCCGCCCTTGTTCTTTTTACTGCCTAGCTTATCACGGTGTTTCCCCAGATGGCCACCTGCAAGATATGACATGCCCCGGAGTCTTTAAAGTGTTGAGTGGCAATGTATATTTTCAATGACAATTGTTTCCTGATCTGTGTGCCTTGCCATACAACGAAAAAAAAAAATCTATCAAATTTTACAAATGGAAAATATAAAGTAATTCTAAAAAGTCAGTCCTCATTTCTATTGGCATTGCCACTAAAGGTACGCCATGGCCTAGAGTAGTGCAACACACTGTCTAGATCTTACAGTCAAGACACAACTCTTCAAATTCACCCTTAATTCGCTGATCAAAGGTAACCTTCTAAAAGACAAACAGAAATACCTCATGCTGTGTTTACTGTCCTGAGACTGTCTATGGCCTGGACCTCAAGCCTCTGTGGCTGATTCCCCCACCCACTCACATACACCCTAAGAAGGGGAAAAAAAAAACATGGGCATTATTCCAGGCAAGATGTAGTTAGTCCTCATCATTAGAATACACATAAATAAACAGAGTAATATAGTGTAAAGTGCATAAATGCATAATACATTATACAGAAAACTCCTTGATAGTTAAAGCCTAAGACAAAGGGTCCAAGAAGATACTGTAGGCTATACTAAATCAAATATTGATGTATTCCTTTTATGTTTTCATTACATTAATTGGTACATTTTAGATATGCAATATGATGACATACTTCATTGGGAAGTTTCAACTTTACATGATATATCTTAGCTCTTATTCTTTCCCCATTCCCTTGCCCTGTCTTCAGCCCCTCCGCCCCTTCCTATTTAGAAAGACTTTGCTTCATTTTTTCCTTTGCTGGTGTATTTTCCTTTTCCTTCTTTCTTTTCCGCTATCCCTCTCACTTTCCCTTCCCCTTCCCCTTTGAACTTTTCCTTCCTTTTTCACATTATCAATTATACATTCTGATCCTTATTCACACTTTTAGTTCCTCACACTAGAAAAACCACTCTGTATTTACACCTGTGTCCTACTTATTTCACTTAAGAGTATGGCTTCAGTGTGCATCCGTGTAGCTATAAATGTCTCTAGTTCCTCATTATTCATGGCTGGTAACTGGATAAGGGAGATGTGTTTTTTTATAAAAGTTTTTATACAAAATTCATGCCTTTTATAGAGGTCTTCTAGGTAAACTTGCATATCTGAAATGGAAGAATTCCTGAGAGTGCCTGGTGAGTATGTTCCTTTTTCAAGGGGTTCACATTATCATATATCAGTATATTATCATATACTGACCTTTCTCAAAGGTATCTCAGTTCTATGTGCATATTCCAGAACACGGATATGTGAAATACAAAAAAAAAAGAGAAACTTTTATCCCTTTGATTATCAAGTTTTGTTTGGTTACCTTGAGAGATGATGAGATTGGTCAGTGGTGAGTTGTTATCATCAGCAGCCTGTAATTGCCACTACAACAAAGTAATAATTACACCTTGAGCACAGAGCCAAGCGAAGACACTTGGTTTCCTACACCCTTCAAATGTAACAAGTTCAGCTCATAAACATTCAGTCAATGGAGGAATCTCCTCTTTGCTGGACACCTAGAAGAAGTACCTTATACCTTGTTAAGGTACTGCATATTCAGTAAGAAATTAAAATAGAACACAATTGACCAGTGTTAGATTAAGCTAATCACTATAGCCACCACCAAATTTCAGTGACTTAGGAAAATAAAAGTGTATTTCTTGCTCAAAAAATGCTCAGATAACTGTGATTGGAAATAGGCAAGGAACGACTCATGGGTCTGTTACCTTTTTATGTCATTATGCTGTCTTATTCCATATGCGGCCTTTAAGTGTCCTGCAAATGGGAAAAGAATGGAGGAACCACCAGATACTCAAATACCTGTACTGCATGGTCTCAGGCATGCATTACCTCCTCTCATTTTATTGGCCAGAGCTGGTCCCAAGACCACATCAGCTGCAATGAATGGGTCCCTATCTTCTAAGCTTTAAGCCTCCAGATTCCCTCCAAACTCTCTCCCTCTCATCTCTATCTTTACCTCTATTTCTATCTATCTCTGCCTCTATCTCTACCTCTACCTCTACTTCTATCTCTGTCTCTTGTACGTACATGCACGCACACACACACACACACAGAGTCACTGGTGGGTTCTACTTCACAGAACTAATGCTACACTACGGAAGAACACCAAAATTTTATCCGTGCTGCATCTACACCACGATCTTACAACTTTTAATTTTTGGTTCATAGCATTAACAGCAAATCACAAAAACGAGCAACGTGGAACAAAAGTCCTCTTTGCTTTGTGTATCTTAGGACTAAATCTGATTCCGTTCAAATATCTAGAGTTTCCAAACTATATTTTTTCACGTGTTAACAGCCCTCAAGTCAGGATGTGTCTCATAATTGACAATGTACTACAGTTATAATTGGCAGGTTTTTAAATATTTTAGTGGCAAATAAATTAAAGCTTCATCTTCTGATCAATGGCATATTACAATCATTGAAAAATAGTTTGTCTAAGAGGGAAAATAGTCTCTGTTTAAGTAAATAAAGGAAATAAATCATTAAACAGAGAAAAAGTTACGTTTCCTAAGAATTCCTTGAAATATTTATAATTCAAGTGTGCATTTTCCATTTATTA